AGGTGCCCCAGCAGTGCCAGCACAGGGAGGGCACTGCCCTGGCCCTGCTGCCCCAGCAGTGCTGGCACAGCCCCGGGGCCATTGGCCTCCTGCCCCCCTGGGCACAGCTGGGATCGTGTCCAGCCTGTGACTCACCTTCCCGGTGCCGTGGCTGGGAGTCCTGGGCCGTGTCTGGAATGATGAGCCTTTTCTCCCATCATCAGTCACTCCTGTGACGTTCTCTCCCTCTCTCCCCTTGCAGGGCCACGCGATGATCGTGGAGCTTTACCCCCAGTAAAGCGGTGCCCGTCCGTCCCGTGCCCGGCGATGCCACCTCAGTGCACTAACAAATCCTACACCCCCTCCTCCTCCGAGGGGGCCTTTGTGGCCTTTATCAATCCCTTTTAGCTCCTCAGCCAGCGATTTGTATCTGATGAACACGCTCTATTGCACTTCCAGCAGAGGAACAGCCGACGTGGCTCGGAGTCTCCGCAGGCTCCTCGTAACCTGTCTGCTCCCTCTGGGAACTCCTCAGGACTTCTCCCAGTGGGGAACAAAAATGATTGCAAAGCTCTGTGCAGAGAACTAAGTTTGGAGACGGAGAGAACGTGAAGCACTGGCGGCGGGTGGGCTGAGGGGGGTGAATGCCGTGGGCAGGAGCAGCTCTTTGGGGCAGGGGGGTCAGTCCTAGGGGCTGAGCTGGGCTCTGAGGGGGCAGTTTTGCTGCACGACATCCAAAGGCTGTTGGAATGAGCAAATTGCATCTGACAAATGAATGTCACCGATGTAACAACCACAATAAATCAGGACAAGACACACGGAATGGCTGTTTTCTTTCCCTCCCCTCCCCTGAAATGCCTTGGGGATTGTTCCTGTGGCGTTTGTGGTGGAACTGCCACCAGGTGTTTGCTCTTCAAAATCATGGAATCACACACTGGTTTGGGCTGGAAGGGACTTTTAAAGGTCCCCTGAATCCTTTTTATGACAGAAACAGTTTCTTGCACCCACCAGCTGCTGCCCAGCCCCGACCTGGAGGCTCAGCTGAGGTAAGGGACAGATGTAACAGATTCCTCTTTATTCCTGCTGCCCCTCTGTGACCCTGCCCGCTGGTTTGCTCCTCAGGAAGTGTTTGAGGATGTCCTTAGGTCACGCAGAAAGGAAATCAGAAATGCAGAAGCTCAATTAGAACTTAATCTGGCCACTTCCGTAAAGGGTAATAAAAAGTGTTTTTAATAAATACATCAATAGCAAAAGGTGGGGAAGGGAAACCTCCGTTCTCTGTCGGACGCGGGGGGAGTGTAGGGACCAAAGCTCGACTCCCGGGGCAGGATTTCCTCAGCGTTCCCGCAGCCCCGGCTCTCACCAGCTCTGGGATTTGCTGTCCCGGACACAGCGAGTCCAAAGGGACACCCGCCTGTCCCGCCACTGGCTCCGGTAAATCCTCCTCTCGCCCGGCAGAGGGGGCCGAGTCCTCGTTCGATGGTTTTCCTTCCTAATAAGCTTCCAAAATAAAGAGATTAACTTACAGAGTACTTTCGTCCCGTAACTGTGCGGGGTCCAAACGGAGGGCGGGAGCAGCCCAGGAAAGTGGGAGCAGCCCGGGAAGGTGGGAGCAGCCCGGGAAGGTGGCAGAAGGCCGGGAGGGGAGAAGGGGAAACCCGGGAGAGCGGGAGGAGTGTCGGGAGGGGGGTGGAAGCAGCCCCGAAGGGTGGGAGCATTCCCGGGAGGGCGGGAGCAGC